TTATGGCAAAAGTTCCTTGCATGAACTCTTATTTTAAGGCTAATAACGGCAATAACGTGTTAAACAGCCCAGAAAAGACGTCAAGTATGTTATACTTTTAATATTAATTACTTTCATAAATTTGCGTCTTTAGTATTCAGTACTGAATTTCAGTAATCAATTAATATCATAATTCATATTTTATAACATACGGTTAGTGCTGACTGCTGATTGTTTATTTTTTTACACCCTTAATTAAATTACCTACTTATATTATTAATATGATATTTATTATTAAAGATTATATATTATATTACTTTTTTACATTTCTTTATTCATAGAAAATGTTTATTGCTACATAGTATATAGTTTGCATGACATATTGCAAATTTGCAAACTAATTTATATAACATTTTTTTATGCACTATTACCTATTGAATATGTTATTTATATTGTTAATTTTTCACTTGGTTAATCCAAAATTTAGATAAAATATAGTATTTTCCATTTTCTATACAATTGTACAGACAAAGACATTTGTCATATTATTTGTTACATTTTTTAGTTAATTGTTTTCATTTATTAATTAAATTTAGAAGATATTGTCAATAGTCTTATTACAGCTAGTTCTCACTTCTCAAACGGGTGATTTAACAACTCCTAGTAACTCAAATTCATCATGCTATCGGTAAATGATTACTTTTATTTTAATTATTTTACGCTGTTTTATCAATTGTATAACAATAACATCATATTTTATTTATTTATTTACTTCTTTAGGAAAGATATTAATTTGCACATTTTAAATTATGATAATTTTGTTGATGATCTTAGTTATTGAACAAGCAAATCTTAACACTGACGATACTTAAATTAATACATTATTAGAGTAATTTTCTATGAATACCATGCGATGACATGGTCGGTTGCTAATAATAACTAAAGGTAAATAAATGTTAAAATTTTGGGGGCACCAAATTATATTTACCCTGGGCATCAAATCTCTGAATACGCCACTGGTGAGGAGATGTAATAACGAACAAATAAAACGCGCAGAATTGAGATATTAGATTAATTCGTGAGTGTTSATAATATTATTGTATTTCATTCGAATTTAGAATGTTCACTTAAACAAACAGGCAGACATATTATACCATTGATTAAAAACACTAGTGTAGTAGTGTTATAACTTATAAGTGGATTCGGCACTCGCATGACGTGTTATGTCCGTCTTCGAAGTGCATAACATATCAAATCTTACGCTCAGCAGATCACGTTTTGCTCCGTTAGTTTAAAATTTAGCATAAATTTAACATATGTAACTTAAAAGTACCATGTTAATCTAACGCACCCAATACTCTTTTTATTATATTTTAACTTTAAAAGCAAGTTATGAGTATTTTAAAATTGTAAATTTTTTGTACATCTAACAATACTTATAACTCGTTAATAACAATGATAAGACGATAACATAATTATTAATTTTCATTATATTTATAATATTATGTTTTATTATAATTAATTAAATATATAATTATTGAGTAGTAGATTAGAGACAGTAATTGATTAATAGTATGAATATTCTGTCATTAATTTTTTTTTTTTATGATCTTTTCAAAAATTTATATTTATATTTTCTTTAAACTCATGTTTCCACTTCTCAAATTCTCATTGTATAAATGATGTTAAATTAATTATTAAATATTTAATTATGTATAATTTTCTGTAAATGTTATTTGTACCTTAAAATATTTTGAAGTTCAATGTGTCTAATATCTCCCATATGCCTAATAGTGTGTACTATTAGATAATTGTTATACTAACAAATAATATGTATTTAACTATTTTAATTTAAATTTACAAATATGTAATAAAATATAATATTATAATGAAAATTATTATGTTAATGTTTTATAAATGTTAATAAACTGTGCAAGTTGCCAATAAGGGGTTATGTATAGGCAATATTATATACGGTCAAAAAAAATGTTTTTCTCTAAAGATCCATTCTTCGTAAGCACAGTTGTAATATTGGTTGCCTACCTATTKCCCCTCATTGTTGCTGTTTATTTTGTTCATCAATGATAGTACCTAATCATATTCTTCGGAGTTCAGACACCTAATGCAGTAATGCCTAATATGAAAATAATTTAAACTACCAAAAATATGTTAGCAGATAAAATATCAGCAGTAAATGTATTATTAGTTGTTACCTTAATGTTCTGAGTAATAAACATCTATATTGTGTTCAGTTCATTTCTTTTTTTCGATTTAAAATTAAACAATTTGATTTCTATTAAAGTTAGATCATTGCTGAACCTGGAGAAAAATCAACGAAAATCTCACAAAAATAGGTTTCACATGCAGTCGATGTGACAATTGCTAAGAATCATTTTGATTTAAAACATGATTTTGGTCCATACGAGTAAGTTTTTTATTCCATKTTTTTAAATGTTAAACAACATAATTCAATGTATGTATTTATTTATTATTGAATCAGTTATCAATTGATGGACGAAAAAGTCATGTTGTTGCTATGAACAGGATTAAAATGCATGATGTGAGATGTAAATTTTATGGAAGAAGTGCACTTGTGAACCTAACCTACCTTTGTCCAATTAAAATCTTTCAAAAAACTTTTTTGAATCCTCACAGATTCAATTCATTAAAAACACGAGGTGCCGTATCTCTACCATTGTCCATTTATATTTAACATAAAAAAGCGAGTAAGTCGTGGATGTCGCTCTGCTGTACAGTAGGTTACAAGTGGGTTACTGTAATGGATGGAATTAAATTTGAATCCAATGATATTATATCATTGTATACGAAAAACGATTCTGAGCGGAGACTGTTTATCTGTCTAGGATATATATATTAAACCTATATTAAACATTTTTAAATCTTAGATTTAAAAAGAAAAATTGTGATGAATTTTTAGCATAAAATAATTTGTGAATTTTCGTGGTTTTTACGTATGTTGTCAAAATTCAAACTTTGAATGCTTATAAAAAAAAAAAAATTGTAACTATAAATTTCTTTTATTTTTCAACTGCTTTTGTAAAAATATGTTAGGTGTCTTGAATTAAATTTTCAAGTTTTTCACATAAAAAATAAATTATTATCGATATTAATTTTAAAAAAACTAATAATTATCGAAAATTGCATATGCCTATAAATAGATAAGCTTAAACCAAAATTTTTTTAAATTGCATGGTGCATAGAATATACTTATAGCATTCGTTGAAAATTTCATGTATCTATGGTCATTTTTTTAAAAGTTACATCAAAAACCAAATTTGATTTGTTGAAAACTGATTATGTGTAAATTTCCCGATTTTCCCTTAATTTTTAGTTTTTTTATCCCGAATATTTAGAAAAATATTGAGAATTTTTTTACTTTTTACCCGCCTGAGTACCAACAAAATTCACTTTCTKAGCTAACAAGGTACTGAAGTCGAAAATCGAAGTATTTTTACTTTCCCAAAACGTGATGACAGACACACACAAAAAAAAATACACATCATGGTAAAATACTAAAATCAATACAACATTCCTCRCTCCGCTCAGAATCTAAAACAACTGAGCAGTATGTTGTTACAAATTATAATAATTATTCATTAAAATATTAAATAAATAATATGAATTACTGCATGAACACGAGGACACGAGTCAGTGAAGTTTAGGAAATTCGTTTTTACAATATAACTAAAACGATTTGTAATAATTAAATTAAAACTTTCTTAGAAAAAAAAAATTAAAACTCTCACGGTAGTTTATATCTAAAAAATCGAAATAAGGTACTGATGAAGTGATGACTAATGAGTTTCTTATATACTATTTTAAATTTTGTTAAGAACCACTGAATGCTGTTTATAACATTATTCTATAGATGTTGTAGTATTAATGTATTCAGCTGTAAAATAATTAAATATATTGTAAACTGATACGTGTGTGACAATAGGTGAGTATAGGACTCCCTCTGCATACGACTGGTCTAAGGAATCTGCTGAATAAATCCTTTTGAACGGACGACCAGCTCGTATGCGGAGACTCGCACACGTAGCAGACAGTCCTTGAGTAACGCATTACCATTACAGACCATTTCAGAGTATTCATTTTATTAAAACATTATAATATTAAATAAAGGACATAATTTTGAGCCAGAGTAATTTCGTCTCGTTACTTTTTATTTGTTACGGAGTCGCTATAAGTGCACATCCACAACAATTCAAAATTCGTCGAACCGCCGATAATATATTAAACATTTCATCTTAGTTCTCAGCAAAAAATAAAATAATATGTAAACAGTTTCTTATGAACAATTTTTTTTTATTATTATCAATAAACACCGATCCATTTATATTATATCACAATTCCTACATCCTAAACATAAGTTAAAACAATATGGGTACACATGGTTAACACATGGGTATTTTTTTTAATATTTATAAAAATAACATACAATATCATATATATTACACTACTTAAAGTAAAAATTACTTATTTGTATATGAGTATATGACACACCTAATTTCCGTTTATCGCAACAAAAAATGAAACGAATAATACATAAAAATAGTGCTCAAACTTAATAATATTATCATAATATTACCAAGGCTACAATGTTAAAGCAAAATAATAAACAAACACAATAACTTTAAAATGAATAGAAATTAGTACATAATAAAATAATTAATAATACATATTATTAATTTTCATCATTGAGATTTGCATAAGACTTGTGACTAGAAATAAAATCATTTCCATAGCAATTTCTAAAAGTAAAAAAAAAAAAAACAATACTATAGACAACATTTATTCAATATTATTATTAATGTTGTGCACTTGTGCAGAGATAATAATAATAATATTATAACGACAACCGCGTTATTACATTTGATTTGATATTTTTAGTAGTTTTCAACAAATTTTAAATTCAAAATATAACATTATAGGTATACAATAATAATATAATGTTGCGAGAAAATAATATACAAGTTTCAAGTTAACATATTATATATATATATATATTTTTACAAACAACGATAACGCCATACCTAACGATATTATAATCGCTTACGTTTATATATATAGTACAATAATTTTGTTCAKCTAAAACTTTGAGAACATATTTYGTATTCACGTTTCGTTTTTATGCTAAGCGCCTGACAGAAACGAACTTCCTTGTGCCGAAGAGTTTCGTGTCAATCCCCATATTTCTATAAATAACCATCTGCCAGCTGAACTTTTAAATTAATACCTTAATGTACAATACAGCCCAATTATAAAATATTTATTTATCGTAAATCTATTGTATTGTGTTCCGATAAGTGATACGATAAATGTGGGTAATTGAGTAAAACAATAAAAAAATTAACATAATATGATAAAACATTAATTATAATTAGCAGTGGTCACAGAAACGATTAGTACTCAAGGCCGTATTCAGATCAATTTTTTCGAGGGTRTAAGGATGGGTATGAAATATTATTTTTAAATTACACTGATTATAATAATTGTTAACATAAAATGTTTTATCCAAGAAAAATTTCGAGGAGAGAAGGGGTTGAACCCTCCCTTTCACAGGTTCGGCATTGATACTCATACTGTATAAAAGTACGTCATATAATTATAAATGTAATATTGTCGATAATACCAGTTTCCGTTATTGTAACTGGGCGCGAGGTTCTAGAAATTTGATGATCACGGACAGGAATTATTACAAAAGTATTATAACATTAAYTGTGTGTTGTGTGGGAGGAGTAATTCGTTCAATCTACAAACGTCACGTTGAACACGGCCAACTCCATTGGGGCCACCTCCACTTGGTCAAGTCGGTCGATGTCGTCCATCGGATGCATACCGGTGACCGTGGTCCTGGCGATCTGCAGTCGGTCGAGTCCAGCGAACGTGGTGCCTACATCGAACACGCCCCTGTCCCGTCTGAGCTGACAATCGGGTATCCGGTAACCCTTGTCCACTCGACAGTCGTAGCCCTTCCGGTGCAGTACCATGAGTGCAGACGGCGACGGGAACTGCTGGAACACCGGATCGGTGTTGGTCCGGAAGTTCATCAGGTGCACGTCACACGGTACCGGCCTGTCGATCATGGACAGACCGGGGTGGAGGTGGTGTTCGGCGTCCGGTTCGACGACGAACACGTCGGCTGGGTACAGCAGGCTCTCGGACAGCTGGTTGGCCACTAGGCTGGGGTTGGACACCCGGTCGCCACCCTTCGAGCCGCTTCTGTCGTTYGACACCGTCTCCAGCAGTATCCAGTATTTTGTTAGCGTCGGCTTATTGTCCACCACCCCCTCACCCATACCCCTCGAGTCGTCGTACAACGTCCGCCGGTCCAACATAAGCTCAATCCGGCCCGGCTCCCATCCAGCGGCACCTTGAGCGTGGTTCACCAGCACAGTCAGACGGTGCCGGTCATCCTCGATGTACGCGGTCGTCGTGACCGGATAGTAGTTGCCCTCGATGCCCACCCGCTTTACCGTCACCCGCTTCTGCATCTGAAACCCGTTGGAGTCTGTGTAGATGACCGCCGGTTCACCGTTGACGATGCCCGACGACAGCCTCATGAACAGCTCCGTCTCCCGGTTCTTGGGCGGCTGCTTGAAGTCCACCACGTTCTCCACGTACAGGCCCTTGCTCTCCACACCCTTGCYATGGTAMAGTCTCGCCCTGTGCGTCACTATACCGTAGACGACCGTGATCTCGGACGATATGGGCCCGGACGTTATGATCACTGTCGACGGGCCGGGATAGTCGTCCAGCACCTTCTTCTCGGTGTCCCGCAGGTTTGGGTCCGGCATGAACAGGTACGCGCCGCTGTGCAGCTGTGCCGCTTGATAAGCCGCGAAGTCAATGTTCACGTACTGCGACACCCCCGTGCCCTTGTCCACGATCGAACTCAAAAGGCCAGTCCTGCCATCGAACAGCACTTGAAGGTGATCGTTCTCGAGCTGCACGTCGCCGAGCCTCAAGGGGTTAACGGTGAACACTGAGTGTCCGCCGCAGTTTTTGCAGTAGACCAGTGCCAGACCTTCCGGGTTCGGCGCCTTCTGGACGGTGAACGTGGTCAGACTCAACGGTTCCAAGACTGCGACGAACAGCAGCTCGAAGCACACTTTGGACATGGTCAACGGCTGCTCGGCCGCTTCGCTCAGGTTCCACACGGGGTTTATCTGGTGCCGGACGACTGACCCATCGCTGTCCACCACCCTAACGTTCGGTTCCGATACCAAAACCTTGACGTGTTCTGTTTTCCGACGGCCAAGTGGGTTGAATACGATCACGTTTCGGGGTCGAGACTTGTCGATATTCAACGCCAGCCTGTACGTCGGCTGGTCGTACGTCTGACGGTCACTGTCGGGCACGACGATTTTCGAAGACAGCGGCGCTCCCGAGTCGCCAGCCTTGGACAGCAGACACTGCACTGCGAAGCTTTGGATCGACGCGCAGTTTTGGATGCCCTCGAACAGCTTCAGAGCATAGTCGTTCATCACAAAGGACTTGGACGTGCCCGTTATGGCGTCGTGATGCTGGAATAGCGCCAAGTTTTGTCTGGCCCGAGTCAGTTTCTCGTAGTTCCGCTCCAGCAGCCTGACTGTCTGGAGCTTCTTCCGCCGGGCATCGTTGACGGCAAACGTGTACAGGATTTCCGTCGATCTGAGCTTGCTCTCCAGCTCACGATCCAGCACCTTCCAGTATGGCCGGGTCGTGTAGTATCCGCTCCAGTAGGCCGGACGGCCCTCGGAGAACACGTCGCTATAGACGAAAAAATCGCCACGCAACGTGGGGAACTGTCCGTCGCTCCTCTCCCTTAGTGCCCGGAAGAAATCCGATGGCGTGCCGAAACCTACTTCCGCCCCGTGGTATCTCTCCTTGTTGGCGTTTATGTAGTCGAACAGCTTCATGTAGTTGGTGTACTGCTGGTCCCACTCGGTGTCGTGGTCGTACCGGAAGTCGTCTCCCAGCGGTATCAGAGCCACGTTGTACGGTGAAACGGAAGCAGTGCGACCGTATTGGTCCATCAGAACGTCGGCTTTTTGCTTAACGTTCTGGTCATCTATGAAAACCGCGAGTTCCGAGTAATCGGTGAACTCGCCGGGCACCTTTCGAAAGTCGTAATTGATGCACACCTGCAGTGAAAATAACATTGTAAACACTCGTTAAATATTAAACGATAATAATATTATCGCAAATCAGTAAAAATGATAAACGATAATATTGCAGATAGGAATAAGATCTCGTCTCACATACCTGCGGATGAGGACCGCAAGAGCCTCTTATCGAGTAAATGGAAAACGGCATGTTATGCACCAAAGTGTCGGTGTGACCGGACCGATCCCAGTTCTGCCTCCACATGAAATCGCCGTTTTGCGTCCGTGCAAACCATTCCTTCCACGCGTAATGCAAACGCTGGATGACTGTTCCGCCGGTGATCTCAGACTTTTTCAGCAGATACGGCACTGTAGGACCGTGCCCAAAAGGGTCCACTGACCATCCGGTCTTGATGTTCACTCCGAGGTTGTTCTTCACCCATTGATGACCTACACGGGCAAACGAAAAACACGGTAAATACTAATGACTTATTGTTTTTATAAATATTTTATAGAGATACGAAATTGTAAAATATTATAAGCGTGTGAAAGTGAACGAGTAAACGACGAGTATTACGAAATTCCATCGAGTTTGTCGTTTTTTTGTYTAAACAGTTTTATATTATTACACGATGTCTTTGTGTGCGTGGGACCAATGCAGTTGATACATATTCAAGTACATCAAACTTGATTTATCTGTGGACCGTTTTTTATTCTACTTTTTTTTTCATTAAACGTTGTTGTCGTGTTTTTTTATTTTGTCTTTGTTGACATCTGAATGTGAACAAAATTTAATTTAATGACTAAAATAATAATGTTCTCTTTATACTCTGTACAACTATATTGATCTTTGTATCCAATACCTACTACTATATCKATATAGAAAATCCGTTTACAGATATCTCTTGTCACAGAAAACAAACAAAATAATTCTGACACCTATGTCAGGGATCGTRTCACAATCACAAATTATTTACATACAGATAGAAAACACATCAAACACTTTTTTTTAGAACTTCCCTTCTCACCCGTGTTATTTGGTATTTAACACTGTCTACGATTTGTTTGTATAGTTATTTTTATATTATTATGAGTGATATATAGCCAAACAATGTTTCATTAAAAAAGACTAGATTAATAATAAAACATATTATTATTAATGCTGTAGGTGTATGGATTCCATATACTATGGAATCTAGAAGTTATATGAAAATCAATTTAAAAAAAAAACTAAATTAATATTCATCATCTATTAAAATATGTTAAATATTATTATTTCAACACAAATGGTCGTTAAAATACCATAATTTGTTTTATGTGTAAATGCTCAAGTGGTCATAAAATTAATTTTTTTGAAACAGATTTATAATCAATTATCGATATAGGTACACATACATATAATATTATGTATTTATAATAGTTATAAATGCCTAAAACACTTTATTGAAGGTCGAAAAAATATTACAAATCTAATTTACTGTGGGTACCTATTCAAATGTGTAAGATTTAACTTTTTTTTAAGCCTATCCGTAGGTTTTCTTGAAAACACGATATTTTGAGCTAAGAATATTTTCTAAATCATCGGAATAAACAAACTAAAAATTAAGGGAAAAACGGGAAATTTTACGCACAATCAGTTTTCGATAAAATCGATTTTGGTTTTTGATGTAACTTTAAAACAAATGACCATATATACATGCAATTTTCTCTGAATGTTTATATAATATGTATATTCTATCCACCATGCAAAATTTTTGACTTAGGTTGAATTATTCATAGGTATTTGTAATTTTCGATCATTATTAGTTTTTTTTAAATTAATATCGATAAAATTGTATTCTTTAGGTAGAAAAACTGGAAAATTTAATACAAGGCTCTTAACATATTGTTACAATAGCAGTTGAAAAATAAAATAAATTCATAGCCACAATTTTTTTGTTATAAGCATTCAAAGTTTGAATTTCGACAACATACGTAAAAATTACGAAAATTCCGGGGAAAATTCGTAAATTATTTTATAGGTACTAGAAATTCAAAAAAAAATTTCTGTTTAAATCTAAGATTTGAAAATGTAATACAAGATTCCTTACAAGTTAGTCAATCTTTATCACAAAAAAAAAAATTTCCACCAAAAAGTCAAATTAAGTTTTTATGAGCGTTTGAAATTTAAATTTTTACAACTACATTGGATTTTCACCAGATTTCTCATTTAGCGATTTTTTTTTTTTTGGTGTATCTCTAAAACAAATTACCGCAGATACTTAAAATTTTTACTGAATGATTGTATAGGCATTTTATATATTTAATAGGGTTTTTCAAAATCTTTWGATTTGTTTTGAGCTGTTTACCGACATTTTAATTTTTTTTTCTTTAAATATCGATAAAAATTTATTTTTAAGGTAAAAAAGCTTGAAAATTTAATACAAGGCTTCTTATATATTGTTACAATAGMTGTTGAAAAATAATAAAAATACATTGGCATGATTTTATTTTATAAGCATTTAAAGTTCAAATCTTGACTAAATACGTAAAAATTACGGCAAAGTTCAAATTATCTTAGGTAGAAATTCATAAAAGTTTTTCTTTTTAAATCTAAGATTCAAAAATTAAATACAAAGCTCCTAACATATTTTTTTAATAGCAGGTGAAAAATAAAAGAAATATATAGTTACATTTTTTTTTAYAAGCATTCAAAGTTTGAATTTTGACAACATACGTAAAAATCACGAAATTTCACAAAATATTTTATGCTAGAAATTCATCACAATTTTTCTTTTTAAATCTAAGATTTGAAAATGTTTAATAATCTATAATATATCCTAGACAGATAAACCGTCTACGCTCAGAATCGTTTTTTGTATACAATGATATAATATCATTATTGGATTCAAATTTAATTCCATCCATTATAATATAGTAAYCTACTTTATAGCAGAGTGACATCCACGACTTACCCGCTTTTTTTTATTTATGGTGTTATAAGTAATCATAGGGTTATATAATATAATATTATTGTCGTTAAAAAATGTTGATTTGATTTTTGGTGTTTGAGTAATTTTATATACTTATTAAATGTTTTATTGAACTAAATGATAATGTATAGAGTTAATTATTAGTAACTACTTATTTACTAATATTATTAGGCATGAATTATTTATTGAATACGTGTTTGTCGATAGAACTCAAGATTTAATTTTCGAATACAAATTATTTACATTTATATGAACCTATTAAAAAAATATCATAAAYCCTGCAGAGCGTTGTCACATTATTAAATTATAATTTTAGTTATGGTAATGGTTCTAGAACTACCACTATTAAGAATTATTCGCTATTACCATATATAATTATGGTATTATCACGATGCACATTTCACACATACACACAGTTTAATGTTATGTGAACCAACAATACCGAATACTCATCGCATGTTTTTCTTTGAAATAAAACAATCGTCAATAAATTGGAAATAAAAATGCATTTCAAAAGTGAGACGTATGGACGAATAACGCACCTCGCCGACAGTTTCTGRCGGGTTTATGACTCAATAACGTAGTCACACAAAACTCGTTAACAAAGTTCACGCACGTAATAACCTAGTTAAATACGCACGTGGGGCAGTGCAGTTCGCCGTCGGTATATACGAAGTAGTATACCTATAACGTGCGGTGCAGTTTTTATTTTCGACGCGTCGCGTGCCGGCCGTGAATTTCACCTAATTTAACACAACAATCGCCGTACATACGCACAATAATAGGTATATAGTAGGTACAGTTGATCGACGATTTTCTCGAGGAGGGCTTCCGTGATCCGATAATGGATTATGGCCTCAGTTCCGGTCTTAATTAAGCACACACACGCACAAACAATAATATTATAATAGGAGCTGCGTTTCTCGCAATTATTATTATTCTGCGCCCTCGTCTCGCAAACCTGCGCATGCGCACTATCAAACGCACAATAATAATATTATATAACATAATAATAATATATTATAATATACTCGTTTCAGACACTCCCTTTTCGCGTGTGCATATTCGTATATAATAACGTCGAACGCAACTCGACGTTTTTAACAAGCTTCGGAAGAGCTTACTCGAGTGTCGTAGTAGTAGAGAGATTGTGCGTGCGTGTGTGGGTGTGCGGGTGTGAGTGTGCCTATACCTGCGACCTGCCTCGGAGGGTCCTAAAACGCAACGGCTGCAGTCGACGGCGTATTATGATATAACATCACGAACAACGCACGTAAATGCAATGGGTAGTWGGTACTCGTCGCTTTGCGTCCCGTTGAAGTACGCGTGTGTTCGTGAGGTTATGTACAACATTATACTATTATATACCTACTTTTGAAAGTGACGAGAACGATCGCATACGTACACTGTACACAATAACATAACTATAACGTAATGTAATAATAATAATATCATGTACCCGCAGATACGAATAAATATTTCTCGTTGCGAGAGATAAGTTTTGCCGTTCGGTTTTCCGTATCGACCGTCATCATTGACGATTCCGAGATGGACGAACGGGACCCAACTCGACGGTTGACCGATCGATAATTTATCGTACGCATGGTACATCTTATGGTACCATAATAATACCTGGTTACATTATTATACCTTTATAAATATTAAAAAGTATAATATGTATAACGTGACCATGATTTTTTTTTCAAATCGGGACACCTGTACTTTTTAATAAGAAAACCATTTATTTTACGTAAAATAACAATTTCTTTCATTGAAAAAAAAAAACATTAGTTCTTTATATAAAAATGACAAATAATATATTAATAACAATAGACTCCCAACAATCTATGGACTATGGGTTTTAGTGTTTTACAGTATATCTGTATATATAAAATATGTAGGTACCTTTACATATACTGTTAACTGTATAAGTACAGTATAAATTCATGATTGTGATATATTATGTGATCAACAAAGACCTACCACAGTCCACAACTCGACTTTTCTTAAAGCGGGACATTTTTAGGTTCCTTGGGGAACACTTATCTCGAAAGCGTCCTGTCCCGCACAAAGCGAGACGTATGGCCACGTTAAATATACAATATGTCAGTAAATACTAAATATATTTAGGTTAGGTTTGACTGGTGGCCTTAGGGTGCAGTGAAAATATTGCACCTAAATGGACGGGCCGGTATCTAATTCATATAATATGTTATTTACGAATTCCGTAAAATTGATGGGTACTTACTTATATATTGATGGCCAGACGGTAGTGTACATTTTTCGATATTTGTTTTTGACTAATGTTTTGCCTATACTCTGGTGGTCATGATTTTGTCAATGGAAGGGGAGAGAGGATATAGCTATTATAGCTGATTTTTTTTAACATGTACAATTTAATTATTAAATATTATATTATTTATGATTAACAGATATTATGCATTGGAAGAAGAATAAGAAGATCATGTTGGGATCTAT